GCTGTTGCTGCTTCTGCCTCTCTACCCCCTGCTGCAGCAGCAGCAGCAGCAGCAGCAGGAGCAGCAGCAGCAGCAGGTTCTAACCCATGGGGTGTTTCTGATACATTGGGTGTAGAAGAAGCAGCTGAAGAAGGTGATGAAGAAATGTATGATGATGGGGCTTATATAGAGGAAGAGATGATGGGGTCGGGGTTGGTGGGTGTGGATGGTGTTGCTGCAGCAGTTGACGAAGCAGAGTTAGATTTAGGTGATCAGCAAGCATTTATAAATATATTAAGTTCATATTATTTATCACCAGAAGAAAGAAAAGAAAGAGAAATAAAAAAAATACAAAATAAAATTAAAACTTTTTTTTTTATTTTTATAATTTCTATCACTATACTCGAAATTTTATTTCGGGTGTATTTCCACCCTGTAGCGCAGCAGCTCGCTCGCAGCTACAGCAGCTCTTTCCCTGGCCGTCCCCCGCTTGAGCCTCAGCTTATAGGTGTGCTGCTAGCATCTCCTGGTGCTTTGTTTGTTTTTTTTATTTCTTTAGCTTCTGTTTATGTTTCCTTGGCCAGTATGTTTCTCTCCTCTTACCGCTGGATCAACCGCAAGATAGATAGTATTGAAGATAGAGCTGCTGCTGCTGCAGATGAAAAAGAAACAGCAGCAGCAGCAGCAGCAGCAGCAGCAGCAGCAGCAGCAGCAGCACAAGCAGCAGCAGCAGCAGCAGATACAGATGCATCAGCAGCAGGTAATATACAAACGGGAAAAGAGACAAACAACAATCAACAAAACGCAAACACCACACCCACCATCCAGATACAGCAGCAGCAGCAGCAGCAGCAGCAGCAACAGCAGCAGCAAAAATAAAGACATAATACGCTTGCCCCCTCCTCTGTTTCTTTCTCTTTCTCTCTCTTTATTTTTCTCTCTTTTTCTCTCTTTCTTTCTCTCTCTTAAACAAACAACCTAAACACAAAACGCAGAGACAAATCGACAAGGAAGCAAACCAGCAGAACTGCAGCAGCAAACCAGCAGCACTGCAGCAGCACTGCAGCAGCACTGCAGCAGCACAGCAGCAGCAAACCATCAGTGCTGCAGCAGCTGCTGTTGGAGTCGTCCAGCTGTCAGCGTTTGTGAATATGGGGGGGCCCCCCAGCCGCCTCGAGGCCCCCCAGACCCTCCACTCCTTCACACCTCTTGGGGG